TTTGCTGGAGATGGGTGGAGGCTTAAGGCTGAGAATGAAAGGATTATCTATGATTTTCTCTAATACATAAATGAAATCCATGTTAATTAACTGTGTTTAATAAAGGACATAGTCTAAATAGTTTTTGTGTTACATAAACATGAGCTTGATTTAATCATATATATTTTATTCTAATCAGTTATACATGACAGCTGAATGCTCTTTGATTAATTGTACATAAATGGAGCACAATTTTTCACTTCTGGTTGTACACAAAGTAGAGTCACACCATTTGTGCAATTATACATGTACTTAGGGTGATCATGTCTGTCTCATTCCACCATCTTATGTACTCCCATCTCCCCTCCCCTCCCCTCCCTCTACCTATCCTATGCCCTTTCCCCTATTATAAACTAGTATTCACTTATCAGAGAAAACATTCAGCCTTTGGTTTAGGGAATTGGCTTACTTTGCTTAGCATGATATTTTTCAACTCCATCCATTTACTGAAAATGCCATAATTTTATTATCTTTTGATGCTGAGCAATATTTCATTGTGTATATATACCACAGTTACTTTATCCATTCATCTATAGAAGGGCATATAGATTGGTTCCACAGTTTGGCAATTGTGAATTGTGCTGCTATAAACATTGATGTGGCTGTGTCACTGTAGTATGCTGTTTTTATGTCCTTTGGGTATAGGCTGAGGAGTGGGATAGCTGGGTCAAATGGTGATTCCATTACAAGTTTTTAAAGGAATCTCCATACTACTTTCCAGACTGGTTACACCAATATCATTCAAAACCAGTACAGTATGACAGTGAAATTTGTGGACACAGGAACCAAAATTGTTGGATTTGGGTACCTACTGCTAATTTGCAGTGTGACCTCTTTCCAAGTTTTTGAACATCTTCGGTCCCCACCTAACTCCTAAGTAAAATGAAGATAGTCCTAGCTCTCATTGGTAGGGAGCTATTACTATTCAAATTCATGCAAAGACTTAAGTTTTGTTCCTGGAACACAAAGAAGGTTCAACCTATGTTTGTTTGAATTACAACTAAAAACAACAATTTATAATAATTCTTTCTTTGGAATGACTTTTGCTTTTGAAKTTTTGGTTGTAGGCATTTCATAAACTTGATTAACTTAAGCAGTGATAGAAATGTCTTTTGAGGATTGAAATAACTTTATAACTTGTTTGGATGAAATAGAATCTGACAAACTTATTGTGAGAAATGATTCTTTCATTTTAATGGGGGYRCTTCTCCTCCTCCTCCTCCTCCTCTTCCTCCTCCTCCTCCTTCTTTTTTTTAGGGCTTCTTTTGAAGTATGTGATGGAAACTTTTGATGTTTCCTTACCCATTATGGATTCCTACAAGTTGGGAATGGGAGGGAAAAGCATCTGTACTGCTTTACTAGGGCACTCATAGAAAAATAGATTTATTTTCTCTCAATTTTGCAAGTGAGAGGTCTGAGAGCAAAATYTTAGCAGGGCTGCTTCCTTCTGAGGTCTGTGAAGTAGAATCTCTTCCACRTCTCTCACCCAGGAGGCTAGGTGGTAATCTTCATTTTTGCTGCATGACCTCAATCACTGCTTTCATACTTATGTGTGTTCCTTATRTATGCATGTCTCTGTGTTCAAATTTCTCCTTTTATGTGGACACCAGTTATATTGGGCCCAYCCTGTTTCAGTATGATCTCATCTTAACTAATTACATCTTCAATGACCTTATTTCCAACTAAAGTTGTATTTGAGGTATTAAGGGTTAGCACTTCAACCTACGAATTTTTTTGAGGGGCAGAATTCAACCTCTTTTGGAAAATAAATATGTTTTCAGAAATTGTGGCAATAAGTACTGAGAAAATATCCAATTGCATTTTAGTAGATTTAGTCCAGAAAATGTTTGTATACTGGTATTCATAAATGGAATCATTGTAAACACCAGTCAGTCAGGTATTTAAAAAAGAATCCTGTTGTGCCCAGCAGTTCAGGAGGCTGAGGCAGGAGTGTCCTGAGTTCAAAGCTAGCCTCAGCAAAATGAGGTACTAAGCAACACAGGAAGACCCTGTCTCTAAATAAAATACAAAATAGGGCTGCAGATGTGGCTCAGGGGTTGAATTTCCATGCGTTCAATCCCTAGTACCAGAAAAAAAAGAATCCTGTTGCAGGCACTATTCACAACCCTGTCCTCCCAACACTCAATACAATTTATTTTTTGAGGAAAAAAATGAGTGTGTATGTATGAGTGTGTATGAAAGAGAGTGGGGGTGGGGGGAAGAAACTATCTTTCTGCTTCTAAGAGTTTTCTTGCTCTTAGAAAACTGCTTAGTAAAACAGGTGTCTATTGTATAAGAAACATTTAAGATGTAGAAAAATCCTTACTGAAGAATTCTTCACTCATTAAGGATGTTCATGAATATACAAATTGCATATAATTTTGTTTCAGAAAGCATTACTATAAATCTTAAGCAAAATTTTAGAAATCTTTGTGTGTATGTAAATCAATGTGTTAAAAGTGTAAATTCTCTTGAAGCTTAGCACACTCTTGTTAACTCTAAAATTTTGAAGGCCCTAATAAAAAAAAACTTCATATACTTTTATGTTTTAGGGTTAAACCGATGAACAAGAATTTCCTTAGCCCTACAGTATACTTTATTTGCTACTTTATCATTTTGGTTTCTGTAATGATAGAAGACATACCATTTAAGACTCATGGATGAGGCATTTTGTGTGAAGCCTGATAGCCCTGTTAGACAGTGGGGCCATCTCAGTGTTGATCCACATCATTCTTTTACATTGTTTGATAAGGAGTTGCTTTCTGTTCATGATATGTGCATCTTACTACTCAATTGATTTCTTTAGGGGGAGCAAGATTGCCTCATTTTTATCTATTTCATCTTTAGATCCACAATACCAAATATAGTATCTGGCAGAGTAGAGATTAGATGTTGGATAATTGGGAAGAATTAAAAGCTATAAAATTATTAATTCAGAGTGTTTTGATTTCAGAAATTGAGACATTGACTTGAAATATAAATATTATTTGAGGCAAAATAAAGGAAGCTCTAGTACAATAAATATGAGCAGGGTTGCTAGGATTAGTACCTAAAAAAAAATGTTATCCAGTTAATTCTGAAGTTTCAGATAAACAAATAGATTTTAGTAWAAGTATATCCCAAATATTGCACAAGACATATTTACATTGAAAAAGTTGTTTATCTCTGATTTAAATGTAGTTGAATGTCTCGTGCTCACCTGACAACCCTATTCTAGATAATATTTAATAGATAAATTTTTGACTCTTATCTGTCTTTGAAATGCAAATGAGGTCTCTAAAAGCTCCTTTATACAAAGGCCTAGGCACACAGAACTGTTTGTACTATTTCAGATAGTTGATAGTAGTGATTTTTTTCCTTGAATGTTTTAGGGAAGAAATAATGTTTTGGAGGTTATGAGCATAAATAGAAGTATATTATACATGTACTTCCTCCAACACAGAGTGTAGTCCTACATTTCAAAGGCAGGGGCAAAGTTAGAGATGATGAAATCAAAGCATGCACTTTTGTATAGTGMATATACTAGCTAGAAATATCAACTAGAATATAGAGTTTAATTTGTAAAGTAGGATACAGAAAGAAAAATTGGTTACAAGGTACATTTACTGATATGATTTATGTTATAAAATAATTATGTATATAATATTGTTAGTTTATACAATCATGAATAATAAATGTATGTTAAAATATAAAGGTATATCTATTTTTATTATCAAGAACAATTTATCATTTAATAACATCTTTACACTCAAGAAAAATAAGTGAATGTTTAGCGTTATTTATTATATAATTATGAACTGATTTCTTCTGTAGTTCACAGAAAATGACTGCCACATTTTCTACCTCAGTGTGATTTATGCAAAAATGAAATCAAGTTTATTACTTTAGTATTTAAATTTAATATTTAATTAATTTAGTCTTTAAATTTAAATTATTTTCAGAGAATGCCAGTGAATTTGAATATCTAGCATTCATTTAAGAAATTAACTCCAGACTTTGATATAAAAAGGAATATAGGGTATAAAAATTAAAATAGAATATTAATATTTGTTTGCCAAATAAGAATACATGGATATTTAGCACTAATGGTCACATAACCTGTTTATATTCAAATAATAAGTTTAGTAAAGATCTACTTAAAAAATGACAGAATGGTGGAAACTATTTCTTTCTCTGGCTCATCAAACGTTGGAATTATTCGAGTGTCTAGATTATAGACATTGTACATCTATCATATGTAAAAGTGCACTCTTATATCTCAAAACAATTCAGATTTTGTCAAATGCAATCAAATTCTATGTGCCAGAAAAAGTTTAGCCCACCTAAAACATTTTCTATCTTCTGATAATTCCTACTGGCTGATTATGGAATTTCTATTAGCAGGAATTTTGTTGTTATTTAAGGGAGTAGAAGACATGATTGATCCTCTGGAAGCTTCCTATGAAGAAATGAATTGGTAGTTGGATATCTGATCATTTCAGATGAAAACAGAATCCTTTTCTGTTAGTTAAGTGGAGAAATGCTTCAATCTTCCTGGATAAGTTACACTGTTGTTAAAATATTAAAAGTTTAAAGTACCTACTCAATAATTTAGGAAAACATACAATTGAATTTTTAAATTATATTGTAAATTTGTTGTAATTGGGTTATAAATGTATATCTAAATATAAAGGAGGAAAAGAAGTGTTATCTCTGAATTATGCTATTCAAATAAGAAGTGATTAAAATGCATGCATTTGCTTTGGTACCATGAAGACCATTTATGATGTACACTAGAGTGATAGATACAGTGKAGAGGTTAGATGTAAAATTAGATGAGTTGTTGGTAGAGTGAGAGGTGAGATGTGAAGAAATAGAATAGACACCTCTTTCCTAACTCTTGGCTTATACAGGCTTTCTTGCTATTGATGCAAATAGAAGTTGAACTACTACATTGTCATGTTCATGTCTTAACAACATTTATTGAAATATCATTATATTGTCACAAGAATATTTAAAACACATTTAAAAAATCTAAATAGCATTACAAAATCCATATATTTGCACATTTAGGTTTTGTCAGTAAGTCAGATGTTTTCTTCATGGTATTTGACCTCAGAATTATAAAGACATTTTCCATCATTCTTCATAACTCTGATTGAATAAGTCTTAATGCTCTTTTCATGTTTTCTATCACTGAAATAAGAGTAAACAGACATTGAAATATTAGTAAATGAAAGTAATCATATGTAATAATTGTTGCTAGGATCTGAAATAAGTCGATTTAAATTAATAGCTTTGAAAACATGAGAATTCATCAACTGACACTGAAGAATTTTATGCTAAAGATATACATGTGAATTTACAGATTAGATCAGATCAAATTTCTTTATGATAAACAATTTATCAGAGGGAGTAGGTATTTTCTCTTTAATCAGTTATTAACTGACCCAGTATTGCTGGATCTGAGAGGCATAATTGTCTTATTTAATACAGCTAATAATAGAGGTTGTATAAAATGGATTGAAGTCCTAAGTCTCTACCTTCTTGCTCATAGTTCTTAAAGACAAAAACATTTCAGTGTTATAATTTGAGGAAATCAAGTATGTTACCATACTTACATATTGGTAAATCATATGTAATTTTTTTTACACAAAAAGAATGCACTACCTTGAGGTTATGTCATTGTAATGCATACAAAGTTCTTTCAGTTGTCCCAGAATTTAGTGATCACAAGAATTCTTCAGCATCCCTGAGATTCTGGGGTGCCCCAGAAATTCAGATTTTGGTGAGAGGTAGGAGTTTGTGACAGTGCTGATATAGGCCTTCATTGGCCCTTTTAACAGTCAGGGGTCAGCTATTACACTGTCCAAGGCAATTYTTAAATACTTACATATTGGTAAATCCTGAGGTTCATATGTATACAATCTGTTAGAGTATCTTCCAGTTATATCAGCTCTGACTGTTAAGGAAGGGTCTGTCAAGAAAAAATAAAACAAAACAATAAAACAAGTCACTGAAATACTATTCAACATGTTTTGAAAATCATTTTTCCCCTCCCACTCTAAAACAAAAGTCAAGTAAATTTATAAGCAAAATTAATTTCTTTTACATGTGAATTCATGATGAATTAACCTAAATTTTCCTTTTAGTGTGTTATAACTGTTATAATTCTCACTGGTCTGGGGCACCGTACTGGATATACATTGGGATATTGATTTAATAGCATAAGTTGCTTTTTAAAAAGAAACTTTGCAAATAATATAGTGAAATTTTATTATAGAATTGATAGCATAATATAATTTGTTAGAAATGACTTCCCTTTAAAAATAATAGTATTTGAGCTAGCATTTAAAAACAAATAGAATCAAGAATGCTGAGAATCATACCAATTTTGTAAATCTGACACAATGAGATTATACACATACCAACAAACATGATTCTAGGCACATACTGCCCATCAGGTGATAAATTCTTGTCAGTGGTCTCATGCTAGCAGAAGAAAGAAATGACTGTTATTGGATTAGATGGTTTTTGAMAGTTAATATAAAAATATCTTATGTGAACTATAGTAGATTATAAATTTTGGCCTTTTATGATTCTATATAATATTCTATATCAACCAATTTACTTAACTCTGTATGTTTTGAAAATAGAATAAAAGGATTCAAATCTTCCATTAAATTATGATATTAAGAAAACATTGTTTACACAGCCATAAAGAAGGACATTTATATCATTTGTAGTAAATGGATAGAACTGAAGAACATCATGTTAGGGAAATAAGTCACACTCAGAAACTCAAGGGTCATGTTTTCTTTCCTACGTGGAAGCTAGGAGGAAAAAAAATAGTAGAAAAGRGATTTTCATGAAAATAGAAGGAAGATCAGTAGAATAGAGGATGGGAATAGGGAGAGGGAGGAAGGGAGGAAAAAGAAAGGTACTGGACAATAAAACTGACTGAACTGTTATATGCACATAGGAATATATCACAATTCCACTATTTTTAAAGATCATAATGGAACGATAAAAAAAGAAAATATTGTTGATTTCATGTACCATGAGATTCAACATGATGAAATTATTCTGAGCCATGTCTTGTATTTCTTCATTTTGGGCAAATACTTTTTTTAGTGCTGTGAGGGAAAATAAAATTTTAGTTTTAAGGATCAAAACATCTTCAATATAACATTACAAAACAAACCTTGTGTTTTGAATTTGTTTGCAGCAATAACGTGGGTATAAATGGTTTGTTGACCTTTTGCCACTTAGTCCCTCACTGGGAAGCAATGAGTGACAGTCTGTCCACAGAAACATGAAGGAATAATCATTAATGGGGACACTAGTTTTAACTCTTATTGACTTATTGGTTAAAACAAGTTCTTTCCGCACATTTTCCCACTTGCTCTCCTTTTTTTATGGGAGGAAAAGGGATATTAAATTTCAAAGGGCATTTGATAGAAATACATTCTAGCAATCATTGTGGACTTCAAGCATCTTGATAAAATGGTGGTACTCTTTTAAAATGGGGTTTGTGTAGTATTCTCATAACTGTTCTTATCAGTCATGTTTCTACTTCATATTGGACATATAATAGGATCTCAGAAATAAAATTACCTTGGCAGTATTGACAGTCTTCCAAGTGATGAATAACCATCAATGGCTTGTTACTAAAAAGGCAGTGTGGAAATGTCAGGAGATTAATATCAAGACAAAACATACAGTGGAATTAGACAAAGTTTTGTTATTTATTTATTTAGTTTTTAAGATGGTCATGGATTTATTTATTTATTTTTTTTMTTTTTCTGTGGTGCAGGGGATCGGACCAAGGGCCTTGTGCTTGCAAGGCAAGAACTCTACCAACTGAGCTATATCCCCTGCCCAGTTTTGTTATATTTGGTAAGATTTATAATCTTAGATTCACACATCATAGCAATGTAGTCTATAGCAGTGTGGCCCCAGAACTGATAGCATGAAGGTCATCAAGTAGCATATTAGGAATGTAAATTTATAGGCTAGCTATGAGCTAGCCTAGACTGTCCTAGACCTGCTCAATTAAAATTGCTAGCTACGAGGTCCACGAATCTGCAGCTTAACAAACATAGTGGTTGAGTCTTATGTACGTGATAGTGCAGTTAGATAAATAAAAATTAATTCTATCTCCAAAGATGAAAAGATATTATGAACAAAATATTCATTGCTAATGAATATTTGGTATATGATTTCAGGACCATCAAATGTTTATTTTTACAAAAAAATCTAGTAATATTTGACAATTTCCACATTCTTTCTTATACCAATTTACAATTTGTAAACAGCCTAATTGAAGATTTCATATGAATATATTTTTCAGGGTCATTTTGATTTTAACTCTGAAAAAAAGTTTTAATGGCAGTACTTGAGTTAGCACTTACTAATTTACTTCCTTGCTCTTTGCTTTAAAAGAATAATGAGAATATTAACTATAGTAAGGTGTAACAACTATGATTTTGATATGTTATGGTTTGGATGCGGTTTGTTCCCCCAAAGGTTTTGTACTGAATGATTGGTGCCCAGTGTGGTGGAGGTAAGAGTGGGGCCTAGTTATAAGGTAATGAGGTCATGGGGCTCCATACTAATGAATGTATTAGTGCTGTCTCATTGAAGTGGGTCTGGTCTCCTGGGATTGGATTAGTTCCCAAAAGAATGCATTGTTCTCAGTGAGCCTGGAACTTCCATTGAGTCTCCTTTCTACATGTACTCATGCTGTGTGATGCCATCTGCCATGAGTCCCTCACCAGATTCAAGCAGATGCAGGTGCCATACTTTTGAACCTCCCAAACTGTGAACTAAATAAACCTCTTTTTATAAATTACCTAGCTTCAGGTATTTTGTTATAGCAATACAAATAGACTAAGGTATATGGGATGAATTTTAAAATGCAACTTTAATCCTGAGAATATTGTGAATATCAAAGGAGATGGATTCTGATATATTCAGCATAAGTCTTTTAAAAATATAATTAATAGATATAATCATATAAATTGCTCTCCTTGCACAAGTCTATGCTGTACCCAATATTTCAGTTTCAATAAGTGTTAAACATAAATTTCAAACTGTTAATAATTTTCTTTAATCTTCCAATTTGGGATTCAAATAAATTTTAGTTAAAAATAAACCCTACAACTTACCTGTGAAGATTTATAACATTGCTGGAAAGCTGGCATTTTCCAACAACTTCAAACTTATTGGTGAAAAAGACTAGAGTCCAACGAATGAAATATTATCCCCACTTTTTGTTAGTAGAAAACTAAGTGTAAGAATATTTCTTGATTTTTTTTATGTTGATAACACTTAAAATCTATTCTCTCAGCTCTGGAACTCAGATATTATAAGCATCAACCAAGTAATTTTGCCATTAGACAACCTCTTTGTTTGAATTTAGGGGGTGTAGTTGTCCTGAGACATAGACCAACAGTTTAGTGTTGAGTCCTGTTTTCTTGACATACTACGGTTTCTTTTCAGCAACTACACAACCGCTAGAAACAATCCTAGCAGTGTTCAGGAAAAGGGATTGAAGTAACTCTTGGAGAACTAACTTGACCTTTAGATTTCTGGGCAATTTGAATCCAAGGAAAAATTTATCAGGCACATAGAAGACTCACTCTTAAGGGTTCAGTTATGAATGAGCTGTTCACACATTCAAACGGAGACACTCTTTCATTTCAAGAAAAGCACAGGAACATTTTTGGCAGAAGTAGCAACAGTCTAAAATAAGGTTCCAAATTTTTTTTTTCTAGTAGGAGCAGAAAGTAAATATTTGAGAGTTTGTAGGCCACATGGTTTCATTTGCAAGTACTCAACTCTGCCATCATCACACAGAAACAGCCATAAAGAATATGYTTAAAAAACAAGTGTGGCTGTTGCAGTAGAACTTTATTTTATGGGCACTAAAATTTGAATTTTACATGTCACAAAATATTATTCTTTTGATTTTTATTAAACATTTTAAAATGTAATAATAATTTTTAGCTTTCACAGTGTATAAAAAGGGTGGGTGGCCTCTAAGTTAAAACCTTGTGAACTGGCACTTCAGATGGTAAGAAACCTAAGTTGAGAGAAAGAGTATTAGTAGTTGTACTTTAGAGACTCTAGAATTAGAGGCTGCAAAAGCCTCAATGCTTATCATCATTTGGTGAATAATCTTCATAAAGTCTCTAAATTCTCTACTTTTGTTTGTTTAAATAGATGACAAATTCAGCTGGTTTAAAATTCAAAAGTTAAAGCAGTAAAAATTCTTCTTCCCCCTGCTGTCTTCCATATGTAAGCAGTATTATTATTTCTCAGGGTCCCTTCCATAGGTTTTCTTGAGTATGTATATATATTGTATAAGTCCAGATTTATGTACACGTGTATGTGCATGCATATATACATATTTCTTTCTTTAAATTTAAAAAAATATAGGGCTGTGGATGTAACTCAATGGTACAGCACTTGGTTAGTATGCACAAAGCCCTGGGTTCAATCCCTAGTACTGCAAGGGAAAAAAAAAAACAAACCAAACCAGATTGGGTGAAATGACATATGCCTATATTTAACAACTCAGAGACTAAAACAGGAGGATCCTGTGTTTGGAGGTCAGCTTGAGTACCTTAGCAAGACCCTATCTAAAAAATACAATAAAATAAAAACCACAAATACAAACACACATGTATTTGCATAAATGTATCATAGATATGATCCTTTTGTGTAATATTCCATTAAATGGATATATTTTAATATAAATCAGTCTTCTTGAAGATGGGTATTTAAATTGTTCCAATCTCCCATTTTAGATTGCTTCTAAACATTTAGATTTATATAAACATTTCTTTGGTGAATATGTAGTTACATATGCTTTTATGGATGGGTAGGTATTTCTGTGAATAAGTTTCAGAAACAGAATTTCTAGGTTGAAGAGTATGTGCATTTATAATTTTGATGTATATTCTGCATAAAAGCTGTACCAATTTATATTCACTCGGGTAATGTGAGTAGTAACTRCTTTCTCTACTTTCACTAAAACTAGTTCACAAGTTTTAAACTTTTTAATCCAGTAGTAAGACAGAAGTTAAGGTGGTTCTATTATCTTATAAATAAGCCTATCTTATGTTTGAGTTACTTATTTTTCTGTTCTGGAACTACCACATCCTTTGCTACTTTTTTTTTCTATTGACTTAACTTTCTTCTATTAATTTTTAGGAATATTTTGTATACTAGAGAAATTCACCTTTGTAATATATACTACAGTTCTCCTCTTTCTCTGCCTTCTTCCTTTGCTTATGTGTATTTATTTGTTATGCAGAAAATTCATGCATTCAATATACTACATATTTTAGTTCCTTCTTTTTATTTTCTCCTTTTAATTGGGCCACAATTAAGGGCAGGAATGTGGTAAGGCAAGAGGAGGAGCTAGGATGAGAACTGAATAGCTTTATTTTCATCTCACCCTAATCTTAGACTTCCCTTATTATAAGGACTTAAGTACATGTTTGAAGTAGTATCTTCTGGTACCTTAATTATTTAATTTTTTATAAAATCCATCTTTGTAATCTGTTTTGATATAAATGTGTGAAGTTAAGAATCCAATTTTTTAATCTTTTCACAGATGGTTATCAAATTCTCTTTAGTACTAACTATTTCAAAATCTATGTTTCCTACCACTCATCATGTAAAATATTCTATTAACAGATGACCAATTTAGTTGACAGGGAGAATTGCAGATACTGATGTTTATTTTAGTTTTCTATATTTATTGTGTATAACATGATGTTTAGATACATCTCTATGTTATAATGTGTCTAAATCAAGTTTTTAAACATAAGCATTTCTTCACATACTTTTTTTWATGATAAGAACAAGTAAAATCTACTCTCTTGGCAATTTTCAAAAATATAATGTTATTAGTTAATAACATTGTTAATAACATAATAACATTAATAACTATATGACAATAGTTATTGTCATCATGATGCATAATGTCTCTCTTGAATATATTCTTCCTAATTGAAATGTGTGTCCTATAACCAATATCTCCCCAGTACTCTCCTCTCCACTGTCATACTCTGGTAACCATGATTACTTTTTCTGAGTTTGACATTTTAAAACTCCACATATAAGTTAGATCATGTGATATTTGTTGCTTTGTGCCTGAATTATTTCAAACAACACAATATCCTCCAGATTCATCCTTGTTCTTGCAAATAACCATATTGATTTTATATCCTTTAGATATATACCTGTGTGTTCATCAATTTTGCTTTAATTTTTAAGTTTTTGAGAAAACTCCATACTGTTTTTCATAATGGCTCTTACTACATTATGTTCCCATCAACTATGAGCAAGGGTTCCTTTTTCTCTATGTTTTAGCCAGGTTGTGTTGGTTTTCATCTTTTTGATCATACCCGATCTAAAGGTGTGAACTGAAACTTCATTGTGGTTTTAGTACGTCATTTTCTTGTGATTAGTGAGGCTGAGCATTTTTTCATTATTTTTTGGCTGCTTCTTTTTAGCCTAAACGTCAACTCAAATAACTATCATTTCTTAATGGTGGGACTATTTAAAAACTTTCTATTTATTTTGAAATCTACATTATTATGAATATAGTTACCTTGCTGTGCAATAGAACATCAGAACTTACTCCTCCCATGTAAATGCAGCTTTGCACCTGCTGTCCAACCTTTCTCCTTTCCCATCCTCCCCTTTGCCTCCTCCAGTTTCTGGCAACCACCATTCTCCTTTCTACTTATGTATATAACTTCTTTAGATTCCACATATAGGCGATTTTATATAGTATTTCTCTCTCTCTGCCTGGCTTATTTAACATAATGTTCTCTAGGTTCATCCATATTGTTGCAAATCACAGAAGTTAGTTTTTTAAAGCTGAATAATATTCTATCATGAGTATATACCACATTTTATAAATCCATTTATCCCTAGATGGACACACAGGTAGTTTCTATATCTTGGCTATTGTGATTAGTGTGGCAATGAACATGTCTCCGCAGCATGCCTTTGGTGTACATACCCAGTAGTGGTATTGCTGGATAATATGGTAATTTTATTTTTGGTGTTTTGAGGAAATGATGTTGTTTCCCAAAATGACTATGCTAATTTATAATCCCATCAACAGTGTACAAGGGTTCTTTTTCCTCCTTATCCTCGCCAACACTTGCTATCTTTCATTTTATTTGTAATTGCTGATCTAACAGATGCAGTAATATCTTCTGTGGTTTTAATTTGTATTGCTCTGATGATGAGAGATGTTGGCTATTTTATCTGTTGGCCATTTATATATCTACTTTGCCCATTACCTGTTTTGTTAAGTAATTTGAGTTCCTAATATATGTTGACATTAACCCCTTTTCAGATGCAAGGTTTGCAAATATGTCCTCCCATTCCACAGGTTCTTTACTTTGTGGATTGTTTCCTTAGTTGTGCTGAAACTTTTTTGTCTGATGTAATCCCATTCTTCTGTTTTTGCTTTCATTACCATTGCTTTTGGGGTCTTATTCAAATAACCATTGCTCAGACCAAAATCTAGAACTTGCTTCCTGTTTTCTTCTAGTAGTTTTACAGTTGAATGTTTTAACATTTAAATCTTTAATCCAAGCCAGTTGTGGTGGCATGCGCCTGTAATCCCAGCAGCTCGGGAGGCTGAGGCAGGAGGATTGAATGTTCAAAGCCAGTCTCAGCAAAAGCGAGGCACTAAGCAACTCAGTGAGACCCTGTCTCTAAATAAAATACAAAATAGGACTGGGGATGTGGGCTCAGTGGTCGAATTCCCCTGAGTTCAATACCTGTAATATCCCCAAATAAGTAAGCAAATAAATCTTTAATCCATTTTTGCTTGATTTTTGTGTATGGTATGAGATGAAGTTCTGATTTAATTATTCTGCTAGTGGATACCTAGTTTTACAAGCTCTACTTTTTGAAGAGACTGATTTATCCCATATGTATCCTTAGAATCTTCATCAAATATCAATTGACTACAGATTAGGGGTGTTTCCTGGTGGCAAAGCATGTGCTTGACATGAGGATGACCCTGGACTCAATCCCTGGCACCAAAAAAAAAAAAAAAATCAATTCACTATGAATGTGTGGGTTTATATCTAGGTTTTCCACTGTGTTTCATGGAAAAACACATGGGTTCGTTTCTATGCTAGTATCATGCTATTTTTATTTCTATAGCTTTGTAGTTGATTTTGAAATCAGGAATTACGATGCCTCTAGCTTTGTTCTTTCTGCTCAAGATTGTTTTGACTATCAGGATTTTTGTCTTCTTAGGATAGTTTTTATTCATTTCTGTGGAAAATATTAAAATTTTGATAGGGATTGTATTGAATCTATAGATTGCTTTGAGTACTGAGGACATTTTAACAATATTAATTTCTCCAGTCCTTGGATAATCCCATTTCTTTGTGTTCTCTTCAGTTTCTTTCATCTATGTTTTATAGTTTTCAGTGCATAGATATTTTGCCACCTTGAGAGGTGGGGGGACAGTGTGTACATACATACACTGATAGCTATTATAAATGGGATTGATTTCTTGATTCTTTTTTGTATGGTTCATGGTTAGTGTATGGAAACACTATTGATTTTCATATATTGATTTTGTCCCCTGCAGCTTTATGAAATTCATTTTTTTTAGTTCTAATGGCTTTTGGTGGAATCTTTCTCAGGCTTATTCTGTATAAGATTTTATCACATGCAAACAGGGAAATTAAACTCCTGATTTGGATACTTTTCTCTCTTGCTTAATTACATGGGCAGAACTTCTAATAGTACTATGTTGAACAGAAGTGGTAAGAGTGAGCATCCTTGTTTTATTCCTGATCTTTTAGAAAAATCTTTCCACCTTTCACCATTGAACATTGTTGCTATGGGCTCATCACAGGGCTTTACTGTGTTGAGGCACGTCCCTTCTGTATCTAATTTGTCGAGAGTTTTTATTTTAAATGGATGTTGAATTTTGTCAAATGCTTTTCTGAATCTACTGAAATGATCATCCGAGTTTTGTCTTTCATTCTTTGAAAGTGGTGTATCTCATATTTACTGATTCGCATATGTTAAATGCATCCCAGGGATAAATTCTACTCAATCATGGTGAATCATTCTTTTGGTTTGTTTTTTGTTTTGTTTTAATACAGGGAATCAAACCCAGGGTGCTTTGCCATTGAGCTACATCCCCAGTACTAATTTTCTTTTTTATAGTGTCCTTGTCTGACTTTTTAGCAGGGTAATGCTAGCCTTACTAAATGAGTTTTGCAATATTCTTTTTCAAATTTTTAATTTTTTTWAAATATATGTTTTTTAGTTGTTGCTGGGCCTTTATTTATTTATTTATATGATGTGCTGAGAATTGAACCCACTGCCTCACACATACTAGGCAAGYGCTCTACCACTGAGCCACAACCCCAGCCCTGCAATAGTCTTTTCTCTTCAATTTTCTGGGAGAGTTTAGAAGGATTAGTATTAGTTCTTTAAAAACTTAGTAGAAGTCAGCAATAATGTTTTCAGATCCTTAACTTTTCTTTGATGGGAGATTTTTATTATGAATAAAATCTCTTTGCTCATTGGTTTATTCAATTTTTTTATTTCTTCATGCTTCAGTCTTGGTAAGTTTTGTATATAGGAATTAAGTTTTCTAGGTTATCAAGTTAATTTTAGTTCAATAACTTTTTTACATTTTATGCCAAGTTTATTCTGAGTTATTTAAACTTTTTGGTTGCCATTTTAAGTAGGATATTTTAAAATTTTTTGAATGTACTCTCATGTATTTAAGTTCTGTTATTGACTTCTATGTTAATTTATTCTCATGTAGTTTGAGTTTTCATTATTCCATCTAGTTTTTATTTTCCTTCAGTTTTTCATGTATGCAGGCATCATACGCAAAGATACTTGTATCCTCTCCTTTCCAAATTTTATACTTTTACACTGTCACTTAGTCTCATTGTCTATACCTCCAGAATAATAGTTAATAGTTGTGCTGATGGGGAGCATCTTTTTTTTTTTAGATTTTTAAATTTATTCTTATTAGTTATACATGACAGTAGAATGCATTTTAATAGATCATACRAAAAATGGAATAAAAACTCTCATTCTTCTAGTACCCAGAGGACTTAAAATCAGCATACTATGGCAGACATCTTATTCAGACATGAATGAGGGACTTCTCTTTGTTATCCCAGTAAACATGATATTAACTTTTATTTTTTTCTTGTTAAGTTCAGTTTAAATCAATTAATATTTTAAAATATCAGCTTAAAAATTTCAGATATAGATACTGTATTCTATTAAACATCTTTCCAGCATTTGTGGAGATGAAAGATACTGTATGATTTGCCTCTTTACACATATTAAATTATTTTATTTAATATGTTTCTTAATCTTTAATCATCCTGGAACTTTCAGACTAAACCTCATTTTACCCAGGCTGTACTTTACTGATATGTTGTTTGTTAAATTAATATTTGAAAATAATATTCTGTAGACTTCTCTATTTTTGTAATATTTGGCAGGTTTTGAGAATGCTTAACCAATTCTCATTTAATTTGGTATATTATTTCTTGAAGGAATATTGGAATTGGATGTTCTTTAGATATTTGATAAATTCTTGGGGAGATGTAAAAAATACAAGGTTTCTCAAATATTTAATAGGTCTTTAAGGATAAAAACTTTTGGCCATTGAGTATTTGGTTGATCAACTATGAATATGAGTTTGAAAAAGGCCCCAGATTGTTTTGATAAACAGACAAGCTGAAGGATTGTTGGCTTAAATCAGTTTCCTATTTAAGTTTATATTATGCCCAATTAGTAATACTATTTTGTTTATACAACTTATATTCAAAAGCTTGCTAAGGTGATGAAGAATTTAATATAGTGGTATTTATAGCCTTTTTTTTAACTAAAAAAAATCTATTCTAACAGCAACTATTTTTTCAAACCAAATACAAGAGTAGAACAAATATGTGTGGCAACCCTTCAAAAGCTTACGTGCCTGTTTTGAGTACTTTTATGAGGCATCTGTATAATCTATGAAAATTAACTGAGAGGTATTTTACCTTTTCTGAGCATGGAAGAGACCTTCTTCATAAGTTTGTACCCAAGTGATGTCATCACCCCATCCTGAAGTAGAAGGGAGAAATCAATATATTAATTAAGGACTACAGAAGAGCTCTGGGTGGGTTTTGGTAAGCAGATATCTAACTCCCGACATTTAACTCAGCTACTAAGCAGTTGGCTAGCATGTGGTGTTAAGGATACACATTTATAACTGGCTTACAAAGAGTGCTGTCCATTTAGATTATAGTATGAAGGATTTAGGACTGTGAGTCAAATAGGCCCATGGCCTTGAACCTGATAAGATCTATATAATAAATTATATCTAGGAACATATTTTCCATTTTTACTACTTTAACAAAAAAGTATTGCCTTTCTAGATATAGTTAGTATGATGGTTCAACTGAAGTTGAACTTAGTAAATAATGATGGATGTACTTGGCTGGTACTCAGTATATCTGTTAAGAAATGAATGGACTTGGAAAGTCAGGCAGTGCTTTAGAATTTGAAATTACACTATGGTTGATCTCAATTTGTTTGCCCAATTCACATTACCAAATAGTGGTCAAGTGCTTTGTGATTATACCGATAGTTTTGAATTAAACGTGGGGACAAATGATTTTGTTAATTGGAAAGATAAGAACCAACTCTGAAAATTTTTTCTTCAGAACACTTTCTTTTCCTACATGAAGATATATTAGTTTCTTAGGACAAAGTAAAAATAGTAAGTACAAAATTAGAAATGTTTTCTAAACCATACCCAATGACAAGTCTAGATTGATGTCTAAAACTGCCGTTATTTCCGGAGTCATTATAGCAACAACAGGGTTAACCAAAATTCTCAGCTTTTGGGATAAAGTATCATTTTCTGAGTAACCTTGGATAAAATCATTCCAAATTATTTTCTTGCCTTAATAAATAGAAGACTGGGAATCTGAGCAAATTCTGAATCTTAAATTGCTTTTAGGATATCGTTATAACATATCGATCAATAATTTTCTAGGATTCTAATTACCAAATTATAGATATCAAATCAATTTCCCACTATTTCTACAAAAGATACAAAAATTATTATTATTTGAGGATTAGTTTGATTCACTGCCTAAAATCTTTATTGGTTCCTTCTTTCTTTTTTAACTCAAGTTTGTCATATGCAACAAACATCTAGTTCATTCTTTGCTTCATACTAGTGAAAATATTAGGTATTTTTAAAACAATCCAAGTGATTGAGTTTAGAAAATAAAATGAGATTACAGTACCTCTTGACAGGGTCTGTGGAGGTCTCTTTTCCTTTCTGATTACAAGGGCAAGGCTGGAAGAAACTGTGATAAATAAGAGGCACAGGGCCAAAGCTGAGTGTAACATGATGTCTTCCAGAGAACCCCTCAGAAGAAGCTAGATGACAAAAGGCATTTTCAGTATCTAGTGGCTTCCTTCAGGCTGTGATTAAAAGACATTGGCTAAGAGCTGGATAGAACCTGTGCTGACAGGTCACTCTTTAATTTCACACAGTGTAACCACCTACAACTTTGGTTCACATTTTATTTTAAAAATATTTTAAAAATTCAATTAATTTAGCAAATGTACAGGTGGCAAAAAGTCAGGTTCTGTACACCCTGGTCATGGTGAGATGTAGTTGAAAGAGAACAAGATGAGGACTCACGATCCTGCTTCTGGATTGCCCTGTAGTGCACACAGCCTACCAGTGAGACTCAACTAAGATGGTGTTAATCACATTTCAACTGCAAAGTGCAATGCAAAGGTGACTTTAGCATGCAGGAATGGTCTTTGTCTTTTGCTTCTTCTGAATCTAATAGTCTAATAGAACACTCTAACTCTATATCAAAATGAGATTAGGCACCAAGAAACATTGCTTAAAATGGAAATCAGAGGAAAAATTGAGTAKAGATCAGTCTTGTCTCTGTAGTTACATGTCAGCAGGTACTCAGCCTTTTGCCCCTCAGTTTATAAATTCAGCTCTTTTTTTAAAATAAAATATTTTCAATTGCTATGAATTAAACATATGTATAAAGAATAGAAATAAACGTACCTATATCCTTCACATTTATATATTTGCTTAATTTCATTGTCATTTTTCTCATTGACTTGTGTTATTCAGTAGTGAGTTCCCCACCAAAATAATGAGATTCCCTGACCAAAATACAGTAAAAGACTGTTTATAAATTCTGCTCAAACACAGAAGTTGCTATATTTAACTGTATTAGGTATTATGAAAAGTTGAAAGATTAATAAGACACAATGACTTAGCATTGGCAAAACATTTGTAATATTGTAGTCAGTGTTAAATAGCAATTGTAGCATGGGGGAGCAGCAACTTTGCAGTGAAGTTTACAGATTCTAGGTTTCTGCAGACATTTCCTCATTCCTTTCATTCTAGTATTTTCTCCTTTGTAGTGATGTATATTTTCTGTTTCCTCTCTGAGTTGATATTATTTGACACTAAGGTTAGCTTTATTTAAATTACTTCCCTTCCCATTTATTACTTTCTTTGTAGACAGACACTAAAACCCTTGTTAAACAGTAACCACAGTATCTGATAAGGATCTCAATTTAAGTTCGTATAACTTATTAAACCATAAAACATTTCAGAATGTCAGCTTGTACCTAGGGACTGGTCATCTTGTATCTTAAAGGCTGAATCAAAAGAGAAGGGAGATTTTAGTAAGGGATAGAGATAGGTGATGCTGGGACCAAATCCCAGCGTGGGAAGAGCAGGTTTAGTCAGGTTGAGAGGTGCGGTGGAGAAACTGAAGCAACTTGGGAAAGAGTCTTTTTCTTTCTTTCTTTTTCTTTTTATTTTTTAAAAATATTTTTTAGTTGTTGGTGGGTTTTTATTATTTTTAAAAAATTTATTTATATGTGGTTCTGAGAATTAAATCCAGTGCCTCACACATGCTAGGCAAGTCCTCTACCACTGAGCCACAAACACAGCCCTATTTTGTATTTTTATTTAGAGATAGTTCTCATGAGTTGCTTAGCRCCTTGCCCTTGCTGAGGCTGGCTTTGAACTCTTGATTCTCCTGCCTCAGCCTCCCGAGCCATTGGGATTACAGGTGTGTTCCACTGCACCCAGCTAGAAAAGGGTCTTAACCTGACTCTAGTAGCTTGAAGAAAGTCTATGGATGAACTACAGTAGGCTAAACAAACAAAGAAAAAAAACCCTGAAACTGTTTGGAAACTGTTATAAACTTCTGTTCATTTTCCTTGAAAAGAGGGTCTGAAATTGCCTTTACCTTCTTCTATGATCTTGGATGTGAAGAAGAACTAGGAAAAGTTAATCTGGAGAAAGCATTAGAAAGGTTCTCTGTTAGGAACAGAAATAAGTGGTGGAATCTACATAAAAAAAAGAACATGTAACTTTATCATATCTGCTATTTTAAACCCACCACGTTTAGAGTTGAATGGGAACTGAAATATTATTATTTAAAATTTTTTTTGTAGTATGCCTTTATTTTATTTGTATGTGGTACTAAGGATCAAACCCAGTGCCTCGCACATGCTAGGCAAGTGCTCTGTCTGCCACAGAGCTACAGTCCCAGCTCCTGCATTATTTTTAAGTATTTTTGTATTATTGCCAAATAATACTTTCAAAGTGAAAATCTTAAGTTTTTATTTTATATTGTTTGATAAATTAAAATAGATATTAACTAATTTCTATGACAGCAATACAACTTGAATTTTTTCTTTTGAATAATACTTTCATTGGTAAAGGATGTCTTGCTTAGAGTCCTTTATTATCAGTTGCAAGGCTAAGCTGTTTGGGGCACAGCTGAATATGACATTGCAGTAGTTTATATACTTTGCAAGTGCATAACCAAATATCTAAAATTAGGCTTTATCAACTGGCTAGTTAGCGTTTTCTAACACTAGGATGTCACTCTTCAAAAGTAATTTAACCTAAGCCACTTACTTGCATATTATGTTAAAAACTTCTGTTTTAAAATAAAACAAAAACTTAAAATGTACAATAAAAGAACCATTGTCACTTCTAGCATAATTTTGAAAGAGTCATTTTTTAAAATTAAAGTTTACTATCATTACTATAAATAAAGACTAAAACTATGAAATCAGCATAGGAAATCCGGAAGAAAAATATAATTTCATTTCACTTTCCCACCCTTTATGGAAAACCTCACTTTCAAAGAGCAAAAACTAATCATTTAAATATAGCAGAGATTGACTGCTGATTTAAGTCATCTGGAAACTGTTTGCTTACCTGAACCAGCCAGTGCTCTTGCTGAAAGTGTGCTCTGGATGTTTCTGGTTAAAAAGGGGTGTGGGTTTACAGACACACCCACACACCTGACCTACAACCTCACCTATAGAAACCGGAGTGTTGTCACCTGCAAATTTACCAGACTAGGGTTGTCTGAGAAATTCTGTATCTTTCCAGTTCTCATGCTTCTCTCAGTAGAAAAGCTTTCGTCTCTAAATTAAGATCGAATGTCCTCATAAAATGAGGCCAAAGACCATCTTTGTGTCTTTCTCCCCTACCTTTTATTTCCCAGGGTAATTTATTATTTGGCTGGAGTTCAGCACCAAAAAAAAAAGGGCGGGTGGGTGGGAAATGAATGTAGAAACTGTGTACGCCATTGTCTCAATGAGAGTTCTGGGAGGCTTGCAGATTAGATACAAAGCAAATTGAAATTCCTAAGGGTTACTCTGTTTACAGGAATATAATTAACCACTACAGAGATCAGATCCTTTTTTTCTGAGAATGAAATAAAAATGCTGTTTTAAAATTAAATATTTTCATCATTTGATCACTCTTTGCAATCTTGGGCAAAAAAATTTAAAAAGCAATTAGATAGGTTTGTTTATATTTAATAGATATTATTTAATTAATTACTTAAAATGATCTAAAGCAGGAGTGAACAACTGGTTCATTTGTTTTGTGTAGCTCAGGATCTGGCAACGGCTTTTATACTTTTAAATGGATGGGGGAAAGAATCAAAGGAAGAATCATATTTTGTGATACATGAAAATTGTATAAAATTCAAATTTTACTGTCTACAARTAAATATTTGGTGGATGGAGCACAGCCTTGTTCTTTGCTCACCTTTCATCTGTGGCTGCTTTCACACTGCAACAGCAAAGCTGAGTATGTACCAGGAACTGTGCAGCCTGTGAAGTCCAAAATAGTTACTAACTGACCCTTTATAGAAACAGTTTGCTACTCCCCAATCCAGGTTATCATTCATGAATTCCTTCCTTCTTCCCTCTTTTCATCTGTCCTCCCCTCCTTCCTTTGTCTATTTTCTCTGAGTATATTAATAAATGCAGTTCTCAAATATGGGAATGATGACTTTCTTGTCCTCGGTATCAGGGAGGGTCTGATTCTAGTATTTTTCTTTAGATACAGTACTGAATTTGTTTACCATGTTGAGAAGGCAGCCATTATTCCCAAACYAAATCTCTTATAAAGAGTGATATGGATTTCCTCATTTGATAAAAAAGGCTTATCATTTTTCCAAACTGAACCATTTTTGTGATCCTGAGGAGACCTCGTGTAGCCAGGTTATATTATTCTTTTACTGCACCACTGATTTGTGTGTGTGTGTAATTGTGCTTTCTTCCTTAAACAGGACTTTCCCTGGAACATACTGTTCAAATGTGATCCTTCCTGCTGGGGTTAAGAAGCTGGATCTATAATTTTAATTTTATATCCAGTTTTTATAAGGCAAAGAAAGAGTTGCACCATGATCCCTAAATGTCCCTGTTGGAGATAGGACTGGGGAAATTTTCAAATTGTTCTGCCTGGGGATGGTTTATAGCTAAATCTCAAAATATTCTGGCATCCTTGTTTAATTTCTCATGTAATACTCACTTTAATAGGTCATCAGATGAGAACGAGAAAGAATAAGTATTTATGGGGTAGTGAAAGTAGGTCGAATCAATTGATCAGTCTTTGGGTCTCTCTCACTAGTGTGAAATGTAATTTAATGTATTTTATCCTCTAAACCCAGACAATTTTGAGAGCAAAAGGAAGTAATAAAAGTCACTAGAATTATATAATTTTAAACTAATATTTTGAAATATTGGTTTATTATATAATAGATTACAAATAGTTCTACTAAAGATTATTTTCAGTACTAAATTCTTTAAAATATATGTATGTACATTAAGCAAAATTTAAAAAAATTTTGGGTACATTTATGTTAATCATTTTTTAAACTCTACTTGTCTGAAATCAAGTGGTGGTTTTTGTTTTTCYCCTTAAGAGTTTTCTGATGTTAATTCTTTCTGTATTTTTTTAAAGATGTTTTTARTTGTAGATGAACACAATGTCTTATTTATTTATTTATTTATTTGGTGCTGAGAATTGAACCCAGGCCTTCATGCATATTAGGCACTGAGCCATGACATCAACCCAAATTTTCTTTATTTTTATATTTATTTTTCACATTTTTTTTGTCACCTTAGAAATTGTCCCTATTGTTAGTATATTAGGTATTGTCAACAGCTCAACTGATACTTCTCTGAAGAGCATACTATTTTTAATTAAGGAAATACTCTTTCTGTAGAKGCTGGGTTACCTGGTAAGTTTAAGGTAATTTGGTTCAATGGAGGATAGCTTCAATTCTAATTGTAAATATTATCTTTGAAATATTATCTTACTACTGTTTTTTAGTCATTAAAGGATGATTAAAGTTTGAAGAATCTTCTTAAGATGGCTGGGTAAGTAGCTAAGTGGTAGAGCACTCACCTAGCATGCATGAAGGCCTGGGTATAATCTCCCATTCCACACATAGAAAGATGACAAATACAATGTTGATGATGCATCAATTAATATTTCAAGGTTATTTTGTAAAAACTATATTCATAAGCTGCATATGTGAAAATAACAATCCATAGAATAAATTGTATTTCTAGTTAACTCAAAATATTTTTTTAAAATTTTTTCTTTGTTTTAATTAGTTATACATGACAGTAGAATGCATTTATGCACTTTGATATATCATACATAGATGGGGTATAATTTCATTTTTCTGAGTGTACATGTTGCAGAATCATTGGTCATGGAGTCACATATATACATACAATAATAATGTATGTTTCATTCTACTATCTTTCCTATCCTCACATCCCCCCACTCCCTCTCATCACTTCCCTCTACTAATCTAAGGTAATGCTATTCTTCCCTAATGCCTCTGGCCTTCTTGTGAATTAGCATCCGMATATTAGAGAAAACATTCAGCCTTTGGTTTTGTGAGATTGGCTTATTTCTCTTAGCATAATATTCTCCAACTCCACCCATTTACTGGCAAATTCCACAATTTCACTCTTTGTTAAAGCTGAGTAATATTCCATTGAGTATATATTCTTTATCCATTCATCTGTTGAGGGACTCCAAGGTTGGTTCCATAGTCTAGCTATTGTGAATTGAGCTGCGTCACTATAGTATGCTGATTTTCCTTCCTTCCTTCCTTCCTTCCTTCCTTCCTTCCTTCCTTCCTTCCTTCTTTTTTTTTTTTCATTTTTATGTGGTCCTGAGGATCGAACCTAGTGCCCCGAATGTGCTAGGAGAGTACTCTACCGCTGAGCCACAACCCCCACCAAGTATGCTGATTTTAGTCCTTTGGGTATAAACCAAGGAGTGGGATAACTGGGTCAAATGGCGGTTTCATTCCCAGTTTTCTGAGCAAACTCCATGGCTGCTTTCCATAGTGGTTGCATCAATTTGCAGTCCTACCAGCAATGTATGCATGTAMCTTTTTTCCCACATCCTCACCAAAATTTATTGTTGCCTGTATTCTTGATGATTGCCATTCTGACAGGAATGAGATGAAGTCTTAGTAGTTTTGATTTGCATTTCTCTAATTGCTAGAGATGTTGAAAACTTTTTCATATATTTATTGATCAATTGTATTTCTTCAGTGAAGTGTCTGTTCAATTCCTTAGCCTATTTATTGATTGGATTTTTTTAAAAAGATTTTTGAGTTTTTTATATATTCTAGAGATTAATGCTTTATCGGAGGTGCATGTGGTAAAGATTCTCTCCCAATCTGTAGGTTCTATCCTCATGTTATT